GGGGAGGAAGTGTCTTGTGGGGGGATAAGGAAGTGTCTTGAGTGTATTTTATACGATCAAAGTCAAACGTGGATGATTAGAGTTATTTTATATGTAAGCTATTTTCAAGACTTCAAGAGTTTCAGCATCACTGCAACCTGCGCTCCCCCAGCCTATCCAACTCAGACTTCAGTAGATGCTCTCTTTCAGTTTTTTCTTCTACTTTAAGACCCAAATGTGAACTTATTCGTGCAAAAGTTTTGTCTTGCCTCATAAAAGAGAACCGTCCCCCTTCCCCAGTGCCCCTTATTACTGATTTGCCGAAATCAGAGCCTTCAGCTGCGCGCCCCCCCCCCCTCCCCCCAAGAATTTGAAGGGTATTATTAGAATTATGCTTTTATGGGATTTTTGGACAATAAATGTGTTCTGAAAAGTAATTTCATTTCTGTATTATCCACCCCAGGATGATTCTTTCTTCTCCCTTGCCTCATTTTAAAAGCTTGAACAGGCTGTTGTGCCAACTAAGGTTTCATTTGCAACGAGGTGCTCTCAGACAGTTGCTAGACTCTTATGCAGATGCGAGCGCCGTAAAACCCCATACTAAACTAAAGACTCTTTCTGCTATGAATGACAATTAGAAGTACATGCTGAATGTTTGTTGGTAGTCTTGCGGTGCTCCTTGTTTTCTTATCTTGTCAATACATTTTCAGGCTGTGCTATCTTTAAGATGTTGCAGAGAATTTTTTACTGCTCTCCTTGATGTTTTTTCGGGATCACTTGAGTTTGAGTTTTTAACTTTCAAAATTTTTTCTTGAATTTCAGTAGAATTTAATTGATGTAAAAGTGTTCATTAGAAATTCATGTTAGTAGTCTTAGAGAATTTCAATTGAAGTAAGCCAGACATTTCAAAGGTGTTGCATGATTAAAACTGAAAGTAACCTATGAGTTATAGAAATTATTCTTGGGTAACGGTTGTGTTGAAGGAACTTTTTACACTATTCGTCTTAAGCCTTTGTCAGAGAAACATAAGTACTGTTGATAGTTAATGAAGGGGGAGTTGGTGTTGCATTTCATGAACATCTCCACAATTTTTCCAAAACCTCCCTTTTGTTTCATGCATGTTGACCAACCAATTCAAATAAAAACAAAAAGTCAAATGGGTGACATGATTGCCTTTTCTTCTTTCCATCAAACCACAGAAATTTCTGATTTTGACGAAAACTGAACTTAAATAAGTGTTAGTTAAAATCACCCTGTCACTTTGTATCTACTCCATGTAAAGGTGGATATGGCACTTTGCATGGATACTTTTTTAAGTGGACTGGGCCTCTGGAAAAAGATAAAGTTGTTTTTCAAGTTACATAGTTTAAGTTCAAATGGATTTTTTGATTGTTCAGTTGTAACAAGATATGTTCTTGAGGAATGCACTTTCAGAGCAGTTTTCGGATTGTGGATTGCAGTGACTAGTTAGGCAAAGCTTCTGGGAAAATATAAGTATTATTAGACAAGTTAAAATTTCTGATTTAGAAAGCCTTCCTTACTCATATACCAAAACACAGTTGCACACAGGCAGAAAATTCTACTGCAAAATTGCATAGGAATTTGTACAACATGCCAGAAATCTTAGCTGCACTTCAGAGATTGTAAAAATTGGGAAGAAATTATGCAGCTCAGATGTTAATGCATTATGGGCAGTTGCTTTTGGGTTGGGATAACAAGGCCTGAAAACTGTCTACAGTTAGGGGTTTTTTTTGTGCTCTGAAATGAAATGAAAAATGGATGATGCCGTCATGATAGGTGCTGTGTGGTGAGATACTCTCCAATCTCATTAACAATTGTGGGTTTTTTATATGCCCGATACATGCTCCAAAAACCTGGTCTGTGACTTTTCAATATCTGGGAAATATGGCTTTGTTTTTATTTTCTATGACCATTTTAAGAAAAAGTATGCAAGTGCATTATAGTTATTGAGCTCTGAATGACGATGGGCTGCAGTAGTGAGGCCTGTACTACAATAGTTTGATGTTTAGATGTTGTCATGTTCAAGATAAAAGAGATTATTAATCCCTGAATTTTTTTTTCTTATTTTTCTGAACTGAAAGGACAGCATCTTTACCTGCATTCAGTTTGCCTTGCATGTAGGCTGTTGATGAATGTAGGGGAAGGAGATTTGAACATTTAATTTAAGTCATCAATTTACCTCTACCACTTCTAATCATGTATGGCAAGTTTTCCAGTCTGTACAGTAAGGGCAATTAGCCAACCAGGGCTGCTTTTAAGATTTGAACGGTGAAGTATCTTTAACACTATCCACCTACGGACCGGGATACAGATGCGGTACATGCCGTCACAGATCGGCGTCCTGTGGGGAAAAGGTACGGCTTCTTACCGTTACCGATCGGCGTCCCGAGGGGGCAAAGTGTTAGAAAGCTTTTTTTTTTTGGTTTAGAATGGTCCAGAATTTTTTCGATAGTACATCATACTCTTGCACCTGGGTCTTCTAAGTACAAGCTTTTCCTGAATAGTCCCCAAGTGTTTGTATGTATGTGTATTCTTTTTAAACCAAGGTGAATAAAGTGTCAATTGTTCGCTTTTGGCAATTTTCACACTAGCATTGTGTTCAAATAAATGTCTTTTTTCTTATTCTCAGTGATAGAGCCCAGTTATGATGGACCACATTTAGAAGATGGGAAAGTGACTGTTGATTTTGTGAATGCTTTAACTGAAGCTTACAAGGAACAAAAGAAGCTGCCTAAGAAATATGTTTGTCAGGTAAGTGTGAAAAAAATTAGTTATCTTAAGCACACTAGTTGTGGTCTGTGTTTGAATGTCTTGTCAGCAGTTACAAGGGATACTTCTGAACCAGTTCACAAGAGATATTTAGTATAGGCATATTATATTGGTTGAGTCATTGATTAATTCTCAATTTTGAGAATGTCTTGGAATTTTTATGGAAAACTAAGCCATTTAACTCTTTTCACCCACGCAGCACGCAGAGCGCGCCACACTTATCCCCATGGACCAGAATACAGGTGCGGTACATGCTCTATCACACTGTCGGCGTTTGCGTCCCGTGGGGAAAAAGTATGGCTTCTTACCATTGCCGATCGGCATCCCGTGGGGTATAGTGTTAATCTTTAACTCGTATCCTGCGTTTCTGCCCAGATGCGTATCTTATCAGCAACTGATTACGTCGGACGTGCCGGGCAGGCCGCCGGGGTCACTCAGTGTGTACTGTTGGGGTACAGCGCGCGCCCCGGGAAATGTGTGTTTTCGCCCTGAATACCGCGGGAGTGTGTTAACCGATGATGAAAATAACGCTCTATCTTTCATAGCTTTCTATTTATAATGTGTTACAAACACATGAATAACCCCCTCTCACAAGCTGATAAGACATTACGAGTAGTTACGCCCATTCGAATAACCTTTCTGGACGCTTTTGTTGTTATAAATGACCTGAGGTTTGAAAGGGGATAATTTAGGTCAATTTCCGAATGTTTTACACTCAAATTGTTCTTTGCACCTTCACAATGGTATTCAAAACTATCAAACAAGCTTATTTTTTATCAGGTAGTATCATTTCATACAAAATCAAGCTCATTTGAAAGATTTTGTATAGATAAATTGTTTCCTGACTATCCTTTCGAGTTCCTCATGTCTAAGTGGGTCAATTTCTTCTATAATTTCATTGGACGAACATCTAGAGCTACCAACTTGGCGTGTTTTGAATGAGACGTATGCCTCGATTACGAACCAACGCAGGCGGTTCTAGAAGAAGGCCACAAATGCACACAAATTCAAGCAGACTGACGCACACACACTTGACCTGCGTGAATGGGGATCTGACTCGGGACCCGAATGACACGTAAGAGGATGCGCGCTGCGCGTGCGCTGAGCCAGGAGCTACACTGATTGGGGACCAGAACATAGGCGAGGTGCCGAAATAGGCTTATCAGGTGACAAAAACCTGGCTCCCGCAGGATGAGGGTTAAAACGTGGTTACTCAACCGTTTAGGCAGAGGGCCTTGATTTCAGAAAACTTGATGGGTAGTCTCACTTGTGTTGGCAGAAAATTTTTTTTGAATTTTAACTGACTCTAATCACAGCTGTTAAATCCCAGTGAAAGCGGCACTTTAGTTGGTGACCGAGTCCCGGTCTGACCTCCCGCATGAAGGTAATAAATCAGTGTCAGTTGGCCACTCTCGCGTTTAACAACCGTGATGATAGGGATGCCCACCGCCGTGCCTGTGTAACTTGGTTCCGGTAATTTTGTATCACTTTACCTCGTTATTTCTCCCTATCTGACAAACCTAGAAGCCTGTTTAACATCTCATTTTAAAGATCATCTTAAGACTAACAAGACAATCCCACTTTCGTTTCGGAAATCTCACTGGTGTTACAGCATTTACACACTTTGCAGTTTAAATGTTTTGTTCATCTAAAGTTACATTTTAAATTATATTCCATTTTGGAGTTTATTATCTAAAAAAATAAATGCACGATTTTCACGAAATTTCTGTGCGTTAGTTGAGACAGCAATATTTGAACTGTGTGAGCAAGTATTATTTGTATTAAGTGAATGTGTGATTTTTTCTGATTTAAAGAAAGAGGGTACCCCTTCCCCCTGTGGTTCGTTTGGACATGATATTTCATTTCTCTTTATAAATTTAGAATCGACTTATTATTCCAACACATCTCTTATCGATTTTTGGGGAATATTTTAGCCCAGTTAAGAAATGGAGGAAAGAGAGGATTTGCATTTACAAAAGCTGCATGAACTTTGCAGAACTTGTGGTAACAGAACACTGTCAGGCAAGAGGCACAGAAAATGCTACCCCTGCATTGTTCTAAATTTGTGTGGGTGCCTAAAGAAAGGTACCAAAAGTCGAATTTTGACCGTTTTGAGAAAAGGGTTGTACCTTATAGGAAATCCAATGTTGAATACAGTGGTTTTTGAATTTTTGAGATACTCTAGTAGCTTTTGAGATATTGCACATTTTGTGAGGTAGGATATAAAGATCTGATTTTTTAGAAAATTAACTTTTAAGTTTAGGACTCATACAAACTTGAAAAAAATGATGATTCAATTGTTTCTAATGTATTTATTCTTGGAAAATTATTTTCCAAATTGGCATTCAGTTGACATCAATATCATGATTAGAATTCAATGGTAAGACATAGCGGAGAAGAGAAAACATGCTTCAAGAATAGATTTTAACACCTTCTAAAAGCAATTTTCATTATCTCTTTAAAAAATACCCTAGTCTCAAAGTTACTAAAAATATAATATTTAAAAGTCAAATCAATGAAAACATTTTTAACACATTGTTTAAAAATGGTGGAACTAGATTTATCATTTTGTAAAAATGGAAACAAATTTTGGTCAAAATGAATTTTTTTGTCATTATCAGCCTGCATCTCAAAATGTTCTGTGGTGACTTTTGGTACCTTTATTTAGGCACACACACATATGCATCGAACATTCTCTTGGCCTTTGGTGTTAGCATTACAATGGACTTGCAGATAGAACAATAAAAAAACCATCTGCGCTGTTTGTGTGGACACGATAAGACATATAAAGAAACATTGCTATCAGGGCACTATTACCGCATGGTTTTTGTGAAACTACTCCTGATGCTTGTTTTCATAACAGTTTACACCTCCCACTTACAAATACTGAACCCGGTAAAGTAGCACCACACACAAAACAAACAGCTAAGTGAGCAATCAGAGGAAGACTTTAAAGGAGTTTCGTCGTCACCACGCACATATGGAAAAAAAACTGGATCGTGGAGAGGAACTAAATGGGGAGATTAGACATTTAGAAGTTTGCGTAGTACTTCCTAACTCCGAAGAAGATTGAATTAATTTTCAAAAACAATTGACGGAGAAAGAAAGTAGGTTGTCTGAGTTAGAGCATGAACCCCTTAGCCTTAGGACTGGCCCTATCTGTTCTCATTTAGACACCGTACTTGACTCACACAACATCACACCGCAGGCATGTGGGGGGCTCTCATGGCCTAGAGGTTAAGGTGTTCGACTCTCATTCAAAGGTCCCGCGTTTGAATCTCATTCATAGGTCCCGCGTTCGAATCAGGGTAGTGACGGAAAAATTTTCTTCTCTAAAATTGTCTCCTTTCACCTCCTTTCCTGTTCTCTAGCAATGTTCTGTCATGTGCTTTTGTCTCCACTTTCTGCCCCCACCCCCTCTCCTCCTTTGCCCCCTCCTCTGGGCTTCTGACTCTTCCTGCAGCCTTTCTACTGCTACTCCTTGGCTCCTTACTGCTGTCTTTCAGCCACACCCCTGATCTTCAGGTAGGAAAGATCTACTCGTAACCTTCTCTGACAAGGGCGAAAAATCTCGGGAGGTCCCATGTGCAAGTTGCGCACGTCAAAGATCCCTTGGTGGTTTTAAATCGATTCGAGTAGGCTTCGGCCGCCACCTGGGCGAAATTCAAAATTTCTTACCTACTGAAAAATGTTTAGTGTGTGCCGCGCACTCATATGACCTTATGCCGTTGTGAGCGCTGTAAAACACTTACAAAAAACAAAAAAACCCCACATACACACATGCGTGCACAAGTCCTATTCGCAGGATTGGGTTATATTTTTACATTGGAAAATGAAAACGCAATGGCCGAGGTTCCAGTGTAGCTTGTTCTTTCAAGTTGTTCGATCATAGGGCTGTAATGTTGGACACCGTGGCCAGAATGTTTTCACCCCAGCCAGGGAAACGTTTAAAGGAAAGTGGCTCTTGGTGAGAGAGTGTGAACTTGTTTCCTGTACTCTGTTTGATGAGAAGATAAACTAGCGAGGAGAGATACGCGCACACTGAAATTGTGGACCAGTTTCTGTATTCAAAGTTTTTGAATCATTAAAAAAATATTTGGGAGGTTAATTTCTAACAAGGGTTGCTGTTAATGTTAGAGGAAAAGATTGCTGTTAAAGGAATTATCTTAGGAAAATTCTGTTACACATGCCTAGGTTGCTATTAGCCTATTAACGGACATCACTGTGATATCACTTTTTAAAACTTTTTCTTTTTCAGTAAATTAATGGTCCAGATCTAGTAAGTTTGGGCATTTACTCAACTTTTGTTCAAGCACTAAGAAATTGTGGAATTTTGTTTTTTCCTCAGATTTTGATTCAAGCGAAGAATATTTTCTGTGAGCAAGAATCTCTTGTGTATATAGATGTTCCCGAGGTAAGTTTTTTTCCTTTCATCCCAGTATTGTATATTCTGAGTCTGTCTCAAAAGGTAGCCGCAGGGTTGGTGATTTTTTATATTTTTTAAATAAAAATTTAAAAAATCGATTTTTTAAATTTAAACCAAGATTTTTTAAATTTAAATCGGATTTTTTAAATTTTTTATATTTAAAAAAAAATGTCGACACTGTTTGGGATTTTTGGTTGCTAAAAGTATGTTCTTTTAGTGCAAAATGCATTGTCTTTATTTTAACTAATGATTAATTTAAGCAACCGCAAAAGAAAGCCTTAATCTGCAATATGTATTCAGTGAATTATGGCTACAGACAAAAAATGAAGAAAATGTCAGTCTAAAAGGAAAGGGGGGGGGGGTAATTATGCATAGATAAACTTGCATTTTATTACAGTGTGTGTGTGTGTGCACACGCTTGTGTTTGTCTAAAAAGAAAAAGAAAATGTTAATTTCAATATTGAAAAAAAAAAGTAAATTGAATACTGTATAATTTTACAGTGACAGGGGGAATTTTAAGCATGATTATATTAGTCTACTAAACCTTATATCTGTTTTATAAAACCAAGGAAAGGAATTCTGAATGTTTAAAGATGTAAAAACAGAATACATTTTTTTAAAGTGATTTAAATCACTGAGTTTTATTTTTAAAATCAAGTTGATTTAAATTTTAAAAAATCAACTGATTTAAATCGACCCGATTTAAATCAACCCAACCCTGATTTCAATTATGAAAAAAAGTCAATTGAATACTGTATTATTTTACAGTGACAGGGGGGAAAGCAGACTTTTAAGAATGATTATATTAGTCTACTAAACCTTATCTGTTTAATAAAACCAAGGAAAGGAATTCTGAATGTTCAAATATGTAAAAACTGAATACGTTTTTGAAAAAGTGATTTAAATCACTGATTTAAAAAAAATAAATCAAGTTGATTAAAATATATTTAAAAAATCAACTGATTTAAATCAACCCAGCTCTGATTTCAATTATGGAAAAAAAAGTAAATTGAATACTGTATTATTTTACAGTGAAAGGAGGGAAAGCAGACTTTTAAGCATGAATATATTAGTCTACTAGACCTTATATCTGTTTTATGAAACCAAGGAAAGGAATTCTGAATGTTGAAATATGTAAAAACTGAATAAAAATAATTTTAAAAAAAAGTGATTTAAATCGCTGATTTTTATTTAAAAAATCAAGTTTAAATTTAAAAAATCAACTGATTTAAATCAACCCAACCCTGGGTAGCCGTGCTACAATCAAGTCTTTCATGCTGCTTTTCTGACTTAAATGCAATCTGCGGTGGGTACTTTTTTCTTCTTCTAGTTTCTAAGTTGGCAATATACATGGGGAGGTTCTTAAAGTAATGGGCAATGGCGTACATGGTGGCTCGAGTTGTCCTCACATTGTCACCATCTTGACTTAACAAGAACACGTTGAAATTACAATTGGACTATTTTTAAGTGAAGTAAGATCAGAATAATTTAGGTTTTTTTTTAGAGCAACTGAGTCAAGGAATAAATGGCAAACCATGATCACTGATATCTGTCACAGATCTGGCACTTGACGATGAAATACCGGCACCTTTTTTTTCCTGTAATATGATTACCATTTGAGTGTGCAATTGATTTCAAAATTAAAACTTGTAGAAAACTTAAATGAAACAAAAATCAATACAGTCTAGAAACACGGACCTTTCCAACATCATTGATATTTCTTTCCTTGACTTCGAGTTGTCAGTCTTAAACTCTGTGATATTAATTCTTTGACATGCATACTTATTTTAAAAAATGAGCTACTTTTTTTCTCATCCACGTCTTCCCTTGCTTTGCAAAAGCAGTACCATGCATTTGAAACAAATATGTGTCACAGCGGGGTAGAATCGGGCGCTCCTCAATTTTTGGGCAGTTATTGGCAGCATCTTAAAACTGTTTAATTTGTCTTGCTTTCGATGGAAAAAGTACCCATCTATCTTGTATAGAAGTCAAGATATTTGCAATTGAAGGAGGTGGGGGCGGGGCTCACCTGGTGTCTGATATTAAATTAGTGAGAGAATGGCTGCCAAAGTTTGATGATTACCAAAGCTTGAGTGTCCTTGAAAACTGCACATTTACAATTTACCATTAATCATCGTTTTTCAGTAAAATATACACAGAAATGTGTTTTTAAATGGACAAAAAGATGTAGAGCCAAAAAACAAAAATTCGATGAAAATTGCCTATTCGTTGGAAAAATGGCGTTTTCTTCGATTTCATTATTTTCATGAGCGCCTGATTTCACCATGATAAATGGATTATTTTATTTTTCTTGAGAATCTCACGAGAAAGACAAGTACTTAAACATGGTTAGTACGGTTGAGTTTTTTGTTTTATAAATAAAAAGGGTTTCAGTATTGAAATCATTACTTTACCAAGTTATTTTCAGCTGAGACACACTTAACAAAGTGGGTGGTTGGCAAGTGCTCTGGTGTGGTTTGCTCCTTCTTTCCTATCAAACATCTATCGTCTTTATGTCCCCTCCTTCTTTTTTGTGTTTGTTACTCCCTCTAATCTTCGGCACTTATATGACCTGATTGTGTTGTAAGGGCCCTAAAACTCTTATTAAAACGAAACACTTAACTAAAGGGAAATTTATTGCCGATTTAATCATCCATAAATTGAGTCACTATTTCAGTTCATTTATTGTTTTTTAAAATATCGCCAAGCATTTCAATTCCTTCGCAAATGAGCTCCACTTTCTATTTGCTTTCTACTTCTGAAAATGTATAGCTTTATAGCCTTTACTTATTTGGTTTGCTTGTTCTCAAGTATTTTTCAACTTAATATTGTGGCATATATAATTTCCCCAAACACCACAGGCTGTTTGTTAGCAACACTTGTAGAGTTAAATGAAAGCAATAGGATATTGCAAAATGGAAAGTATTATGGCATGTTGATTACACTTGGTGTTCTGTCGTTTTATTACCATTCTGTAAGCTATTTGGTCACAGGTTTCGTATGATATATGAACAACTGCATTGGTGACATGTATTTTATTTGTAACCTTTTTACTGTACTTTTGCTGGTGCAGTTCCATACTGAATATCTTTTCATTCAAGTACTCTTTGTGAGAATAAACAATGAATATTGATAAGCTTTGAAACTTCTTTTTTTTCAGAAATCGAAGTTCACTATATGTGGAGATATTCATGGACAGTATTATGATCTGCTGAACGTTTTCAAGATGAATGGAAAGCCTTCAGAGGAAAATCCATATGTATCTTTTGTTTTTCATGTAGTTATAGGACTTAAAGAAATGTACTTGGATGCCATATCATTTCACTTTAAAAAAAAGTAAAGTAAGTCTCGATCTCAAAGTGAATGGGAAAAAACTTAAGAACTTCAGATATGCAGATGACTCAGTTTTAGTTGCAAATATTGTAAACATGGTCCTTCAATTGCTGCTACATATTGCTGTGACAGAAAATAAACATAAAATGTTCGTTTTCCATCACAATAGAATGAATCGGCAATATTGAAGGCCCTTGTAATTATATTTAGGATTTTTTCTTAAGGTGAAGAAAACAAAATCCATGTTAATTTCTAAAAGAGCAACAAATATGATCTGAAATATCATAAGCAATGGATCAGATGAAACAAGTTGGATATAGTACCTGACATCAAATATACCACAGAAATAATGATAATAATAATAATAGATTGCTTTTTTTATTGCACTCTATCTCAACAAGTATATGCTCTGAGAGCCTTACATAAATTACAGGATCACTGACGAAAAATGTGGAAGCCTTAGTATTTTTAGTAAATGAGACTGTTTATGTAATCTGTAAAAATAGTGGGAAAAAAAGCTACCTTCTTAATTGCCCTGGAATAATGATTCTATCAAACCTCTCTCTATTACTCCCAATTACACTGAAGAAAGGCGTAACAGCAATATGATGTATATATGGCAAATTACAAATGAGCTCAATTTCAGTTGCATCTTCCTTTAACGGATAAAAAAAAATTAAAGAAAATATCTGTTGAGGAATGGCAAATTGTATGAGTAATCAGTGATTTCAAGTTTTCTGTGTTCATGTTAACTGTGCCCATCTGAAATGCTTTTTTAAAGGTCATGTGTGGTCAACCTGTCTATACGGCTATGAATTGTGGACAATTACGAAAGATAGCAAAAATAAATTAGACCCTAGAAGTGTGGTTCCTAAAGAGACTCGAAACTTTCATGGCAAGAATGAAAATCAATTGCGGTAGTTTTGCACTCACTAGAAAGTGGCTTCAGTGAACCTGAGTTTGCTTATTTAATTTATGCATTGATTGAATCCAAGTTATTTTGTTGATTTTAATGAATGAAAAAAATGGAGAATCAGTCTCCTTTTGCTGAATCCTAAGTTTTCATTGAGTCCAAGTTCATTATATCTGAGTTCCACTGTATAGATTTTCTGAGAACATCCAAACAGAGAAATGAGTGGCAAACAAGAATATGTTTTGTAATGTCTGTTTCAGATCTTTCACTTGTCAGTGATGTTTCAGAAAAATGGTTAGCTTATTGTTGGTATTTAATTGCCAGCACTCAATTTAAAGTATGGTTATTGGCAACTAACAGAATGGACCCTTTTCTTAACCTCCTTTGAAAGTTAAGCAGGTCAGATTTTTTATTTTATTTGTTTGCAGAAATTTGTTTCTGACGATTGCAGTTTTTGTGTGATACACTTTGTTTTTCACTCTTTATTGACATACTTCTGTTGAACATCAATCCTGTTTTTACTCCAAGAGCATTTCCCTTAGCCCTGTATAGTTGTTCAATGGAGACTTTGTTGACCGAGGTTCCTTCTCAGTGGAGTGTATCATGACATTGCTCAGCTACAAACTCTTATACCCCAAACATTTCTTCATGGCTAGAGGTGAGTTCAGTCTTCATCTGTCCAACTGGGGTTTTTCCCGTTTATCTTTATTTTAACTTAAATTTTATCGAGAACGTACTGAGCTTTTATTTGATAGACACTTATATGTGAAAAGGAGGGATAAAAGAGCTACTGTGTTCTTTTGAAAGTCTAGTCCTTTTGCAAAGAGTAAACATCACTATAGTCTGGACAACACCAAATGGACAACTTGTTGACCTCATTTCAGAGAAACTAAGTGGTGAATTGCCCTGATTTTTTGCATTGCTTTTGAATTCCAAAAAACCTAAAAAGTCTATTTTCGTGTATATGCGACAAATATAAAGAGGCGTTCTCTATATGATCATTAGTATTTGATTAGTCTTTTATCAGAAGAAGAGTAGTTGAGTGTTATTTTAAAAAAAATTTTTTATTGTTTGTTTAAATTTATTTTCTTTTTTTGAAATGTCTGCATGTGCCGCAAGACTGAGTCGTTTTCAGTCCAACCGTTAGTGGGTGACAGTGGGTTTATTTAGATTGACCAATTTTTGTATACAGTGAGTAAAATTTCTTTCATACCTTCACAGTCTTTGAGATCGCATGCTTTTAAATTTGCTGTCCCTTTTTCATTAATCACCATGGTTAGATTACTTAATTGACAAACCCCAAAAAGCATTGCCTTAAAACTACTGAACTATTAACCCTATTGAACTTTTACCCTATCCGTACGTCGTGTTTTACTACCGTATCCATACCTCTCGCTTTAAACTATGATTTTTACCATGAATTTTTAGCATTTTAATCTGAATATTGACCAAAATCAAGCCTTGCTGTGAACTGTTGTGAATACAACCAAGGTGTGTTTTGCCAGCTCATATGACTTTTTGCCGTTGCGAGCGCTATAAACTCTTACTAACCTAAAACATTTTCTGAAGGAGAAAAAATAAAAGTGGCCACTTCAATGCATTCACACAGACAGAATACAGAACATATCCTAAGGTGGATGCATGTTTTGTCATAGATAATGCACTTGCTTATAGGCAACTGGTACCTGCCTCTTTACTTTCCATTTATCAAAATCTGTGAAAATGGAATTGCTTTTTCGGAAGTTACATATAAAACACTGGCAGAAGTTCACCTTCGGCTCCTTTATCAGCTTTGCAAAGAAATGATGGCAATCTTAGGACCTTAGCCAAATTGTGCTCCAAATATGCAAGCTGCCTTTAGAGTATATGTGCATATTTATTTGCCTGCCTATTTAGGTGACAATACATTTTCAGTAATTTCAAGTTTTGTTTTAGTTCATGTTCTTCACAAGAAGGAGGGTAATTCCAATAAGTAGTTTGTTGTAAATAAATTACATGTGTCATATAATGATATTGATGAAACTGGCGTTTTTCAGCCTATCACCTTTTATGTCTATTTAAAAGCACATTTCTGTATGGATTTTACTGGAAAATTTTAAAAGACAGTCAAAATGTAAATTTTCGATTTCCAAGGACACTCCAGCTTTGGAAGTCACCGAACTGTGGTGGCCATTTTCTTACTAATTTTACTTCTGACACCAGGTGACTCCTTCAATTGCAAATGTCTCGACTTTTATGAGGTCTGTTCCAGAAGTAAGTTTCCTCGTTCTGTGAAATCAAGAATTTTTGTTTTTACAGACATAACGTTTGTACATGCCTGCAGAAATAAGTTTTTATTTTAAAATAACAACTGTTGATTTCCCTCTGGGATAATAAAGTATTATCTTATCTTATCTTATCTTATTCCAATGTCGCCAGCATTCAAAGCACTGTGAGCATGTCTGCTTTGGCCAGGGTCTATTTTATGGGCTGCATTTGTTTTGAACGGAATTTCTTCCCCGTCTTCATAGCCCCCTTATTCAGAGGGGATATTTAAGAATTTCCCACTGCCAGGAGTCCAGAAGATTGGTGACCTTTTGAGCAGTGTGCTAAGGTGTGTTTTCATGATGGAAGACAACACCTTGCTCAAGCAGATGGGGCAACTTTTTTCTGATGGGTGGTTTCGATTTTGTATAAAGAATCATTTTGTAATAGTCAGCATTGACTGTTATTCCAATTGGAACCGGCCAGTTCAAACCACACTTGTAATTAAAAAAACATGTGCATCAAAGCGTCTTTCTTGCGTGGAGTTTTCTAGGACCGGCTGATCCTGGGTTTCTCAATCCTGCTGATTGTCTTTTCAGTTCTGGATCCTATTAATACACCCATGTTTCATCACCTGAAAGAATCTGCCCTTTATTTCCGTGCAACTTTAGTTTCTTCTCCAAAACCAAAGGCAGCGATTGGAAGATTAGGAAGAAATTGTGCTCAAAACAAATGCTGTGCTTAGGACTCTGGCCGAAGCAGTGTTTGACAGCTGACTACACCGGATGAAAAAAGTTCATGAGATCAACGGTTGTTATATTGAATAGAAAACAAGTTTCTGTAGGAATGTTCAAAATGTCATGTTTGTAAAATAAAAGTTGTTGAACAGGGAAACTGACTTTTTGGACAGACCTCAAGATTGAAGCATACTGATATTTGTAATCGGAATTTCTCATTACAGGAAATCATGAAAGTCTGACAATGAATCAGATGTATGGATTTGAAGGAGAAGTGAAGTCGAAGTATCCTTTGATAAAGTCAGATAACATGGTCTTTTTTGTTTGTGTCAGAGAACCTGTTTGTGTGCTATTTCTTTTCCATTTATCTCATCCCTTTGTAAATTCTTTTTCATCTGCCATTTTCTTCATTGGTATTGTTTCTGAATCAGAAGTTTAATTTGTATGGTTTTTTTAGGATTGCTCACACGCATACAGAATTCACACCACAAAACTATATCTGTGTTTCAAATTATTGGGACAAAGTGTATTTGTCATAACATAGGTGGTCGGATGAAGACATGTGGCTCATGACAGAAGGGAAATTGTTAACAGGGTGCACTTGTCATTTTGCCTCCAAACTCTTATTGTGCCAAATAGATTGTATATATATATATATATATAGTTCTTAGTTTTGTAAATGATTATCAAATTAGATTACCAAAGAAATTAATTCCTATGCTGAATGTGTATATTTGATCTTAATGAAGACTTCAGGTACTCTGCCCAACTGTGTGAGCTCTTCACTGAAGTCTTCAACTGGCTGCCACTTTCACATTGTATAAACAAGAAAATTTTGGTAAAATATTGTTTTCACTATGAAAACCAGTGCTGTTTACATTATGACTTTTTTGGTCATTTGCTGAAAGGCAAGGTTTATAGATGGCAATGATGTTTTTTACATCTAAATACTTTTTTTTTTACTCTTTATGTCTCAAGGAAATGCACTTTAAGTTATCGGAATTGTTATCTGTGACCCCTTGACTGCTAACCGTATATGCACCTCACATGCTAAGGAAAATTCTCCTGTGCAGAAGATGTCAGAGTTCACAATCTTTAATTTTAATAAACAGTTGTTTGCTTATTATAAGAGACGGATTGGTAAAAGTTATACCAGTAGAAAGATAAATGATGAGATGAATTCATCCATTGACAAAATCTGCATAGAACAAACCATAAGGATGTAAATAATTTGAAAGTACTAAGACCAAACTAGCGCTCCGATTCTATGCGTTGGCTCTATCTCGCACGATGTGTGTGAGAAAAACAACTCACCTCGCTTTGTTTTATGGGTCATAAAGCTCACACTTCTCGTCGTACTTCATATCAATAGAAAGAGAAATGAAGAGATAGTTTTTATCCATTGACAAAACTTGGGAAGAACAAGCCATGACATAAACTAGTGTAAATCACTGAGACAAGCGTTCCAGGTCGACATGTCGGGTCTGACCGTCTTGCACGATGTACAAAACCCGCTTTTCCCATCATATAGTCTACATATAAAGATATGACCTCATTGCTGTAACATGCTTTCAAGGGATATCAAACTCTTCTTTCAATACTTAGTAGAAGCTGAAATATCAACGAAACAAAACATGGATTAAATCCGCCGCACGAGGTGCATTTACATAGCACAGCCAGCGGATTATCGAGACGTATGATATACGTTAACAGTGCAGTCAAGGGGTTAAAGGCAAGACAAGCTACTAAAGATTAGACTTCTGACCAACATATTTGTGTAGAGTTTTCATACCTGCTACCATCTGCATGCGGTGACCACCTTTTGTGTACCAAATGTTCTGAAGTATGGTTTATCCTCTTTGCATTATTTTCAGATTTAGAGGCATTCTTTGTTTTTGTACATTACTGATCTGTCAGTTTGGAAAGTAGGTTACCTGTATTAATGATTTGCAGTTTTTTATTTTTTTTACAGTTACGAAACATTGGAGTACGACAGAAATAAGCCGGGTCTGTTAAATCAGTTGAGAATGCGAAGTGGATTTGTTTGAGATTCGAGTGTTGCGTGTTTGGGAACTTCGTGTAATCAATACAAAGACAACATAGGGAGTGAAACGGGACCAAGCAGTATGTTCGAAATACCAGAGAATTTGTGATTTTCATGTTTGAGATTCGTGGACTTTACTGTAATTTTATAGTGAACCCTGTTTTGCACTAAAGGTTCTCAAAACTTGCATTCAATAAACATAATGTAGCAATTTTTTTAAATGATGGACTTTTAAAAGCGATATTGTCCTAGCTGTAAACTTTTTAAATTCTGTAGAAACCACAAACTGGGATTTTTTATTTATATTTATGCAGGAATGTTCTTGAATACAGGTAACAGGTGTTTACAAAAATATTGATCTATTAAGACAAATTGATACAAGTCATTGTACAAAGGCTGGAGACTTCATGTTCGATAGTTTAGAAGATATTTGACAAAAGTTGCGCCACAAATTTTTGACTGCTTTATCATAGCAAAGCCAAGGATTTATTATTAAAGTATTAACCTCGCATATCTAATTTCTTGGCTTTTTGTTCTTCTTTTTCTTCTCTGTGTTCCCCTGCTAGAGATGAGGGATATCCAACTGCTGGTTCTTCATCCTGTGGTGCAACTGATTTTTAAATATGTGACCATTTTTCCTACTTCATAGGGGCCCTTGCCATTAGGCAACCATATTTCGATTTCAAAGGTACTCTTTTATGTTTTTATACTGATTACAGTATTTTCAGTTTTGGTCAGAATTTTGAAAGTGGAGATAAAAGCAGGTGACAGAAGAGGACTAGAAAATCGGAAAGGAGGAGAAAATTTTAGAGAATAAAATTTTTTGTCACAGTCAGGATTTGAACTCAGCACCCATTGAATGAGAAGCGAGCACTGTACCTCTAGAGCTTGAGAGCCTCCTCCGGGTTTTCTGGACTTTAACATTTTTCATGCATGTCAGTTTTTTAGCCTTCAAAAGTCATTTAATTTTGTTGTTTATGGACTTTCAGATAATGCATGGAGGTCTGTTTGCTTCTGATGAGGTGACCCTCGATGATATTGCCGCAACACAACGAAACAGGCAGCCCCCAGAGAGTGGTATGGTCTCAGTGTTGACTAACAAACATACTTTTAATGTTGATTTTTTAAATTTCCTTTTTTGACTGTTTCATCCTTTTTTCTCATTTAACAATAGGCCTATTATATTCTTTTAGTTTTTTTTTATTAAAAAAAAAAAAATTTTTAAACACAAAATTATTACTTGTGCATTTCATGATGTAAATCACATTTGAGCTGACAGCACTGGTGCAAGGTTAACATTTGTCTATCTGTAAATTAAACAGCCTTCCCTTCATATTTCGTTTTATTTTCATTTTGAATTATGAAGCTGCTGTCAAATTTGTACTTTGATAATTAGATCAATATTGGTTAAGTAAGCACCTTTGACATAATATATATTTCAGGGATTATGTGTGAGCTGTTGTGGTCTGACCCACAACCACAAAAAGGCAGAGCTCCTAGCAAGCGAGGTGTAGGTGTGCAGTTTGGTCCAGATGTGACAAAGACTTTCTTGGAGCGTAACAATCTGGAGTATGTGGTTCGCAGTCATGAAGTGAAGAATGAAGGTTATGAGGTGATGCATGACGGCAAGTGCATCACTGTGTTCTCTGCGCCAAACTACTGGTAATTGTAAATGACAGTAACTTTTTTGAGCAAATCTACACGTATGTTTTTAATCCCCTTTTTCATCTGTTTTGGTATGTTATGTATATTTGTTTTGTTTTTTTGTGGGGGGGTTTTCTCGTGTAATTTTCAGCTGTCCTCCAAATAAGCCCTAAATTGCTCACGTCATGTGGGGTTCAAAGATTTCTATAATGAAAAGGCTCAAAACTTAAGTATTACAGTGGCGATAAAATGGAGCTATGAGTCATGGCAACAAAGTAGTCTTTATCTGCAGTTGTGACCAGAACAAAAAAAATAGAGAAAAAGAAAATGCTGAGAAAGACTGATAAAGTTCTAGGGTACATAAGTTCACTATATCAATAACTATAGATCCATCTCAATCAAACCTTCGAAGGGGGCTCTCGTGGCCTAGTGTTTAAGGTGTTCACTTCTCATTCAAAGGTCCTGGGTTCGAATCAGCATAGCAACGGAAAAAAGTTTCTTCTCTAAAATTATCTCCTTTCACCCCCTTTCCTGCTCTCTAGCTATGTCCTGTCGTCTGCTTTTGTCTCCATTTTCTTCCCCCACCCCCTCATCTCCTTTACCCCTTCCTCTGGGCTCCTGACTCTTTCTGCAGCCTTTCTACTGCTGCTCCTGGGCTCCTTCTTACCGCTGTCTTTCAACCACACCTTTGATCTTCTGGTAGGAAAGATCTACACCTATCCTTCTAGGATGAGGGCGAAAAATCTCGGAGGTCCGGGGTGCAAGTTATGCACGTTAAAGATCCCTTTGTGGTCTAAAATAGATAAGAGTTGGCTTCATCTGCCCCCCGGGTAAAAATCAAAATTTCCTACCAACTGTAAATGTTTGGTGTGTCCCGTGCGCTCATATGACTTTATGCAGTTGCGAGCGCCGTAAAACACTCAATAAACCCCCAAAATCCTTTGAATTTTTAACCTCAGATGAATTCAACAAAGAAAACAGATGTAGATTAGTCTACCTGTACTGCTATTTCCCTGCCGCTGTCTTCTCATTATTTCTTCCTGGAGATGGCCCTCTTCTGATTTTCCCATCTATGCCTTCTACACTCTATACCAGTTTTTTGCCTCCTTCCACATGAACTTCTTCTCCCTTAAGACATAATTCCCATCTACCCATACATCTCCACTTTCACCCATATCACTACGGCTTGTTTCCACATGCCGATTTTCTGTCTCATCCTCTTCCTCCATCTCCTGTCGTATCACCATACCTTTCCCCTTTCTCATCCACCTTTTTGTCTCAATCCAAGTCTTTTGTTCTTCATATTTTCCTCTTTTATAGTAGAGACACTGAGATCTTGCTATGTCGTCTTGCAGTAAATATCATGCTCCAACATTATACGGCGCTCGTAACTAAAGTTTATCAAAATTACCCTGAAGTCTTTCTATGAAAAAGTACAAACTGATTTTAGTTCCAGAATACATCTACAATGTAATACACAAACAGTATCTGTTACACTCCATAAATTCCTTATTTTTCTTAAAACACTAAGTCTAGGTTTTTTAAGTTGACTGAATAACAGGGATGACTTCTCGTAATTGTATTATAAGAATAATTTCTAACTTTCCAGTGACACTGAATCAGCACCAGGCTTTTCCAGCTTTTATTTTCGTTTCTATGACCATTTGCAGTAGAGTGGAATCCTGTTATAACGAGAGGGAGGGGACCGGTCCGAAATGTCCGTTATAGCAGGATTCTCGTTGTAAGGGATCCAGTAATAAATTCAAGGGAAATAGTAAAGCAAGCCTAGTCTATGAGTTTGGTGTTCTGTTTACTCCTTTTTGCATTTCCCCTGAGGATGATTTTGTTCTATTTGATCTCTAGGTCTTACTTGATCAAAAATCGAATCAGGTTTCTTTCTCTAGCACTAGCGATGTTGACAGCTCGGCGTTGACGATCAGAAATAAGGGGCTCTGACTCTAGGCCAACTTGCCCGCTGTGTTGTCCCCCACCCCACCACACCCTGTGGTGCGTTGCGTCTGCTTGCGCAAGTCACACATTCACTTCATCCATCTATCACAGCATTGTGACCTCTCCCTCCCGCATCAGAGAAGTGAGAGGCACGGTATGCCTAGATAATCTAGACTGGGCTGGCCTATCACGCGATGCGTTCTGCTTGTCTATGCATACCACACCCTCCCCACTCGTTCGCTACGGCCTTCATTGTTGGTTCGCGTGGGCTCTCCCATTCTTTGTTTCGCTGGATCACCAACAACTTTCTCACCTGGCGAGGTTTTATATGTTTAATTGGTCTGTGCGCTGTGCACAGCAGCAGCACTATTTCGTTATAATCGACTCGCGTGACTGTCTGATTGCGCAATAGCAGTATTTTATTTACAGAGATAAAGAAGGGAAAAAACGGGGTTTTTAGAATAGTATCTTTATAACAGACTTCTCGTTATTACAGGACTCGTTATAAGTGGACTCCACTGTAACTGACAATGTTCTGATTTCTTTACATTCGTATATGTGTACACGCATATGTCCGACCCAAGAACTAAGAATGAATGTGTTAGGTGTCAATATTTTTATTCCATACAAGAAGTTCATCTCTACCCATGTATTAACAATCTTTCTTAGTTGTATGCAGGCTGCCACGTGGGTGGTTGGCGGGTGCTCTGGTGTGGTTTGCTTCTTCTTTCCTATCAAATGTCTATCATCTTTATCTCCCCTCCTTCTTTTTTGTGCATGTTACTCTCTTGTAACACCTCTAATCTTCGGCAGTTATATGACCTTATTGTGTTGCAAGTGCCGTAAAACACTTACTAAAACTAAACTAAAAAGCAGGCTGCCACAGACACAGTATGATTCATGAACAAACGCAGAGTAACTTTCTCTTGTTTAATGGTAGAACAAGAGCTAACGCTGAGTGTCTTTAGTTAAAAAATGCAGATGTGCATCTTTCTTCTCTTATAACTTGACTATTACTACTCGCGCAGATTTAAGATTTCTTATAGTAAAAGACCTGATATTCGTAGTCAGTTTAACACAGATTTTGAAGAGATCTGTCATGCCGTTTTAAAATAAACAATTTATTCATAAGTATGTCATTGAAATAGAACAGATTGGGTACTCTACAAACACTTGTCTAGAACAAAAACTAAGGCACAGAAATTAACCATTCTAACGCAGAATAAATCTCAAGACATTGAGCTTTTTAGTAAATTCGCTAATGGTTTGCTGTGTGGAATGGGGAAGAAGTTATACCGGCAAAGTTGCTTCAGGGCTCATTAACCCCATGACCCCAAGCCAGGGCTGCTGAGTCACGCTAACTAAAGGTAACAAAATCTAGCAAAAAGTGACGCTGCGGGATAGGGTTAAGAAATTTGCTCTTATAGGGTTATCCGAAAAAACTCCCCGTTACAACTCAACTTTTTTTGTAAATAATTTCCTCCACGCTGGCGCTTTGTTTTTCAAATTTGAACCCAATATTTAGCAGCCAAAAGGAATTTGTCTGATATTCATTTTACATAGTTCTGCAGAATAGTTTTGCTCTGTATAGTGCAAAAGAAAACAACCCATTTTTGGCGTGTCCCCATTTGTGTAGCATGACGCAATAGTTCGCTTTAGACCTGCCTCTAGAAGTCACAACGATTGCGCCATATTGCCTCCTACCGCAGTCTAACAAGTCAACAGAAGTTTGCGGACACTGTTGTTCTCAAGTTTCCTTTTCCTGCTGAGATCATAGTTAAGTTCAGCAAAGAGCAGTGAGTTTTTTGTATTTAGCACTACCTCACCTCCAACTCATTATCCCTTATATTTCATGAGTTTGGCACAAGGTAGGGAAAAAGTGCCCTCAAGGCCTTCTTTGATGTCATAGGTAGAGATGTTACATCAGTTGAATCTATAATAAATCAGAATTAAAAATTCCAAGACAAAAAGACCACTACAGGTGGAAAATGCACCGCCCACACCCTTTTAAATATCACCATGATACAGAATTCAGTAGTCGAGTCCTCACGGGTCTGCTTTTTCAAGATAGATCTTCACTTCTCACCTATGGCGGGTCCTTTTGTTTGGCCACCATGAACGACACATCAAAAATGATTCGAATCCAAAGGAGGATACGTATAGCACTGGCTCTAAGAATTCTGAATAACATGTTAATTTTCGAAAATTTCTGTAAGAGAAATGAAATAGTTAAAATGTTACAGGGATGGAAAAATTAAATGTTTAAAAGAAAAGGAAGAATAAAAAAAGCAAACCAATCCAATGGGTTCTTGACTTTCCTTACAAGATTTTTTAATTGGTGCATTTTGCATTTATGGGTGTTTTTCTTTTAAGCCTTTTTCGTAAAAAAAAAAACTATGAATATTATATCAAACAAATTCCTTTGGAATAAATAATGTCTGTTCCAAATTACAACGCTCTAGGACAATTTTTGTGCGAGATATTCAGAAAAAAAGTGGTAAAGTTTTTTTTGGGTCAACTTTTGAAACTATAACTTCCTCCTTATCTCACATAGCAAACCACCTTACTGATGTTCTGAAAGCTCAATGAATCGAGATTTATTCTTCATTGGAATGGTTATTTTTTGTGCCTCAGTTTTTGTTCTAGACAAGTGTTAGTAGAGTACCCAGTTTGTCATATTTTTAGTCATAAACATTTGAATAAATGCTTGTTTATTTAACATCGGCTCAATAGATGTCTCCAAAATCCATGTTAAACTGACTATGAATATCAGGTCATTTACCTTGAGAAATCTTCAATCTGGGCTGGTAAAACGTGTAATAGTCAAGTTATAAGAGAAGAAAGAAGCACATCTGCAGTTCTGACATTCGACTCTCAGTGTTAACTCTTGCTTTACCATGGAACACACTCGAGAAAGACACTTTGCATTTGCTCATGAATTATGCCATGTCTATGGCAGTCTGCATACAACTGAAAGGTATGCGATCATTAAAAACATAAAACTGTAAAGACATGGGCTGAGACATATAAATCGTGTATATTATGGAATATAAAGAAATGACATCCGATACTTTCATTCTTAGTTTTTGTGTCGTAAATGCACGTGCTCCACGCTATTTACCGATTATTGCAATCGCTATGCGTTTTAACGATCGCATAATTACGCAGCAATCTTGAGATTGCGCTGCGAGTTTTAACGATCAAATAATTGTATCATTCTTGTGAGCTCTTCAGTTTCATATATGTTAATTTTAATTTTAATTTTCATATTTTTACACTTTTGAAATTATTTTCCTTGATGTGAGTAAAAGAATAAAGATGGAAGGGCATTTTTTTTCCTAAATTATTTCAAAGTTGTAAAATATTAACGCAATCTTCAGATTGCCATGCAATTATACGATCGTTTAAACACGCTGCGCAATCTTAAGATTGCTGCGCAATTATACGATCGTTAAAACACACAGCGCAATCTATGCGCCGATCGGTAAATAGCGCGAAACACATGTGCTTTTGTGAATGTGGAGAAATCAGAATGTGGTTAGTTTTTGCAAATGGTCAGAGCAGTTGAAAGAAAAGCTAGAAAAGTCTAGTTTTGATTCAGTGTTGCTGGAAAGCTAGAAATTATTTTGAAAACCCAGTTACTTCAAGTTATTCCCATTCTCCCGTCAACTTACTAAAGGTAGAAACTTTAATGTGGGTGGTTGGCGGGTGCTCTGGTGTGGTTTGCTTCTTCTTTCATCGTCTTTATCTCCCCTCCTTTTTTGTGTTTGTTACCCTCTTGTAACAACTCTAATCTTCAGCGCTTATATGACCTTATTGTGTTGCAAATGCCGTAAAACACTAACTAAAATTAAAAGAAATGTAAAGTTTTAAGAAAAGTAAGGAAAGGATTTCTTCTGGCGTATTTTGATACTGCCATTGTTGCAACGCGCCATGGTTGTTTTATTTTGTCTATGTAGCAAAATGTCGTTTGTCTCAAAACATCAACTTTTGATAGCTTTTCCGTTCAATTCTTTTATTTCCTATTTAATTCTAATAATATTCTCAGGATTTGTTGTTTACAACATAATCATAACCTAACTTTGTACAGAATGATAGATGTATAGATACATTTATAAGTGAGTTGTGGATGATTATGTAACCATATTGAGAGTTTGCGGGGGGGGGTAAGTTATGTTGAAGTTGAAATTATAAGTTCTTTGGCTGAGGAAAATGCCAAAACACACACAACATATGGCTGGATCTAAGAGTTGACAGGGTTTGTTGAGATTTTGCTGGATGAATATAGCCTATTACAAAAAAAATAGATGCTGATGTGGCTTGATAGTTTTATTCCAGCCAAGGGAATCTGAACTCAAATTTGGGGTGATCTCCCTTAAATTCACACTCTATGGCTTGTTCATTTTCGCCTGACCGCGTTTCAAAAATTCTAGCTCATTAAGGAATGTACCTATGCGCTCGAAACTTTCCACAGCACTTCTATAGGCCGGCGACCAAACAAAAATTTTTTTTTTTTAAAATCTTGACCTAGTTATAAAAACATTTTCCTCCATTCTTTGGATGCATACACAGGATCACTAAAATAAATTACAGTAGCCTTGACTACAAATTGCTCGTTTTGAGAGAGCGACACCGCCCTGCCCTCACATTTCTGTGTGAGCTTGTCGATTTCATCCCCTGGCTGTCTAGATGTCTCCGCGTGCTCCATGTGAGTGTAGAAAAATACTTTCCCCGTCGCTTGAATCGTGTTTCTTAGGCGAACGTTAAAGAGTGGTGTTGAGGAAAATATGTCCCTTATTATTTTGTTGACCCGCTTTAGGCTTACATCAAAGAAAAGTGTTGGAACGTTTCTTTACAGTGACTTTCTTGAATGGGCTTTTAGATTCTGTTGGTCGCTTAACTTTAAGACCCGCATGCTCAGACCCAGAAAGATTAAACAGAGCGATTTGTTTTCATCCCGTTTTAACAGGGGTCAGACGAAAGTGAATGAGCTATAGATAACAAATACACACAAACCAAATTCAAAACTTAACACAGATATAACAACCATGGCAGCTGGTAAATACACACACAGCATTGTTAGGTTTTTAGTAAGGAGGCTATGAGATGACCTTTCATCTTTCCAGTCACACACATAAAGAGACAAAATCTTCAAGGTGTTCCTCAACAGAGACGGACTATGATTTATTGTGCAAAATCTATGGTCTTTCTGGCCCACAGGGCACTTATCCATACCTGCAGTGCTTAACACCACAAAAAAAATACAGGTCATGTCTATTCCATATGTTGCACACCGTATTAAAATGTGCCTACAAGTATTACTCTCCTGAATAGACTGGATCGCTTGTTTGAAATTATGGATTATTGTATTGTTTACAAAGGTTTCCAGATTCTCTTGAAGTTTTTATTGTTGTTTTTTATATTTTTTATATCATGTTGTAATTGCTAAACCCACTGTCTAACATTTTTGTTGTTGCAGTGATACAATGGGAAACAAAGGAGCGTACATAACTGTTACAGGCGACAATTTAACACCAAATTTTACGTCTTATGAGGCTGTGGTAAGTATGCTGTAGCTTTACATTAATTTAATTTAAATTTTGCTTAGCACCAGGAGGTATAGATTTCATGTTTTTAGATGTTTGCTGGGAATAGTGGCTCAACAGAGTGGAAGCAGAAATATTTACAAATCAAAACGTTCAGTACTGGGGTAAATATGTTTTTGAAGAATTCACCCATTTCAGTATACTTATCAAAGCCTTGATTAAAAACAACTGAAAAAAAAATCAGCACCCCACCTGTGGCCCTAAGTTATATTAGGTACAGTTAAAGAATCAGCTGTAGTTCACTTACATTATATTCAGACAAAGAAGCTTACTTCAGTTAACCCACTCAGTACCATAAGATTTCCAGTAGGAAGATGGCTCAGGACCACGCAAATCCATGTTTGTAATGTAGTGGGTATTTTGAAAAAATCATTATGAAATAACCAATCCATTGATCAAAAAAATCTTGAAACAAGTTCTTCACAAATGACTAAATTTTAATTTAAAAATTACTTGTTTATTGTGTGTGTTGACTGTACTTCATAATTGAAGATAAAATCAGCCGAGTTGTAGATCTAGATCTAGTCATATGCTCCTCATTGACCTCATTCTCATTGACCGAATCACCCCCCAAAGGCACAATTAGATCGGCATCAATGTCACTTTCACTTAAATTGCTACCTTTCTGTGGGTTTTCTCCCCCAGCACTGATATTTTCTTTAAAATTATCCAAAAGTTCGCCTAAAGCAGTCTGAACGGAACGCGATGCCGGCGGCTTTCGAAGAACACTCGATCTTAGCTTGCGCGACCCGTGTGAACTTCAGTTTGTTTACATTGAATTTAGTCCAACTAAAATTTCCAGAGTTATGTCCCTGCTGCTCTCAAGGAGAGAATGATTATCTATTTTCTGATTGGTCGAAATGCAGGTTAAATACGATGGTTACCAAGCGTGTACACTTCCCTAGAAACAACGCTACTAGCGCGCGGCCGGCTACGGCCGTAATGGTACTAGGCTTTTGAAATGGAAGCGGCCGGCTATGGCCGTTATGGTACTGAGTGGGTTAAGCAGTGGGAAAAGATTGCCTGTAATATCATCTCTCCACGTAAAGAAATGAAATGTCTAGCATTGCTGACTGCTTTGTGTCACTCTAGATGTAGGCTACATACTCTTCTAGGCTTGTCTATGATAAAGACAAGCATCCTTTTCCAAGGAATTAGGTAGTATAAACACAACATGTAAGCTCACTCAGCTTTCTAAGCACATGGTTTTGGTAAAATAGGGGTATTTTGGATCACTGTTTATTTTGCTGTGCCACAATAAAACACCAAACGCCCCAACACCATGAAAAAGACTAGCTTTTCTTATAATGGTGTGCGTTGTCTAGTTTTTCTTGTATTTGGAGCTAGAGAATCACTGTGGAAAGCCAAGGTCCTAGCTGTCGGAACGTGAGGTCAGCCGATTCAAAAATTGACTCCCATGTATTCAATTGCTTTGTGGAAAGATTAATTCTTTGGTTGGGAATTAGAGAGCTTTGAATGGTATATCAAGTGGTATAATTTTAACTTTTGGGGTCTAAACAGAACACCTTTAAATATAGTGTCAAAGTTTTCAAAGATCATCTTTTACACTAAATATTTCAAATACTGGCTCAAAAATGGCACGGTTAGAAAGATCAGTTCACTTTCTGTTGGAATAAAGTTTTCTTGGGATTATTTTGAAGAAATCCTTGCATGAAACTCCAACTGAAGTATATAACCCAACACAGGGAGCACTTGGTACAGAACAGTGTAAAGACAAACTGCTCTGACCCATGGCCGCTACGACACTAGCTGGGGCAGGGAATGGTGTTTTTATCAAAATAACAAGTTTTGCATTTTTGAGGCAGTAAAATACAGATTTACAGCCTTGAAAAAAATTATTCTCCATATCTGTGTTATTGTGATTGTCCTCTGTCAGTGTGTAGATTTTTGGTACTTTTGATACAATGTTATTGTCTGTCAAACATAGGGTTGCAAGTAGTTGGTGACTTTCATAATATTTTGATTTAAAAGGCTGACATTTTCTTCAAGACTGACTAAGAGATAAAAGAATGATATGTAAATTCTTAGGATAGATAGGCCTTTCAAATGGAATAGATAAATTTGTCATAAAGCTACTTTGAAAATTGGGTTTCTGTTACCTATCCATTTCTCCAGGGGTTTTACCCGGATGCATGCCCCAAAGTCCTGGAAAATGGAGAGAATCCCCCCAAAATATACCTCATGTGTTCTTAAAATTCATTTTAAAAAAATTATTACTTTCTGAGATCTACTCAAAATAGTGTTGTTACCTGGTCAGATAAACAATTCTGAGAAAACTGCAAAGAGAGATAATTTTTGGTGAAGATTTTCCTACATTGCTACCTCTCTCAAATGCATTTTCCAGCTATTTATAAGTTTGATAAAGGAATTAGGCTTCTAAAGATGGATCCTTGATATTGATATCTATTAAGATACTCCAAAATCCGAAAACTGATATTTTTTTCAAAATTTTTACTGATCTGACCAGTGGATCCCCTTAAAAAAATTACTGTCGCACTATATCTGGGTCAATTTTGACCATTCAGAGACTTTAAAAAAAGAACTACTGTACTTTCGCTCCATAGCCTCATTTTCAGTCAATTCCAATAGAACATTCATTCTTCCTTGACCTCATAGAAATGCATACCATGGCAGTGTCATGCGTTCGGCGATTGAAGCTCCGTGCAACTCCGCTCTAGATGCGAATCGATTGACTCCACACTACGCCCCTCAAGGTGCTAAATGGTTAAAGGAATGCATCTTTAATGCAGGCAGTTTTTGCAGAACAGGGTACATCTCTGAAATTCAATTCTGGGCACTCCTGTGCAGACGCAATTTATGTAAATCAGGGCTATCTTGATGAGTTATTTCTATCAAGCTTAGAGTAGGTGCTGGTGCTAAAAACCAAAATTTTCTTTTTAATGCAGCTTGAAATGAATTTTGAAGCAGCCTTGTGAACCAAATAGTGAAACCAATGCTCTTGAATTTTCTGATATTCTGAAAAAACATACTTAAAATGCACCAAATTTTTTTTCCACCAATGCAGCCTTTCAAGCCTTTAGTTACAAATCGAAGAAAGTGGGCTGGGGCTGTGCTTTTCACAATTTTTAAAAATAAGACTTCAGTGAAGCAAGTCAGGCAGCCTGTATAGCCATATGCTGTTGTGTACGCCAGTCTATGAGACTTGGACGAAGAATTGATTCTGGAACTGATCTCCCCAATGAGTGCTACGGAAGAAAAGTTTTGATTTCCTTTTACTTTAATCAGTGGTTACCAATTAGGATACTTTTTAAAATAAAAATTTCTTTAAAAAAAAAAAAGAATAAATTATTAAATGTTTTATTGTCCCCTTACGGAAATTCGAGTTACAATGGCAAACATACATATGATACATAAATACATAATCAGAAATACATACACACATGTACTTAAATACACAAAATAACACCTATACAGAACAATTTCACAAACATGCCATTGCTGGTCGTCACTGTGCAGCGCCCTGTTTTTTTAGCTAGTGTTGTCGTGTCTTGCTCAAGAACACACCCCAGTGACCACCCGTCTGAACCCTATGTCACCAACATTTGCTTGATTTGATATGGAAAAAATAGAGGTTATCCTGAATCCTGAGGCTGATCAGGTAACCAGTAAATGGCTTGGTGTTTGACTCATGGGGAGTTATTGCTATATTTGACTCATCGGAAGTAGGCCATACCGGTAATTGCTATTCGTTGGAAATAATTTCTATTCGTCGAAAGTAATCATGTTATTACTGGACTCAACAGAAGTAATTGACACTTGTCAGAAGTAATTCGGTATGTAATTTTCTAGGAGTCTGACTCCGGGAAAGGACTCACTACTCCTGCAAGTAACTGTATTTATCTAGGGGTCAGAACTTCTGGAAGAAATCATGGACTCCGCGGAAGAAATCACATCAATGATCAGTATTAAATTTTTGGGTTGAGACCCAATTCCTACGATACCTTGTTTTCAACAATCAAAAACCTGCAGTTACCAAAAAAAAAATGTAACCGCCCACCTGTGCAGTCTATTAAATAGTACTAGCCTACAGTAAAATACGACATACAGACGGCACTCTGTCGATGCATTAATTGACCTAGTTTTCTCAGTTTCAGTAGAAAAATGGCATTTCTCTTCACTTTGATACTCAATTCGCAGAAAAAGTACATTCAATCAAAATTCTCAAACTTTGATTTTAATTTTAAAAATTTACTATTTTGTACTCAATTTATAAATAGGTCCAATATATTGTTGGAAAACTCATTCAGTGCAAAATAGAATGAGACTTTATCGACCGATACCGAGAATTGACTTAATGTGCTGAACGATGAAAGGAGGTCATCTCCTTGGTTCGTTAGTGATGGCAGCTGTTTTCATTGTCATATTAATTACTGAATGGGCGCTGTGATTTTGAAAAAGAAAAAAAAATCTCTTTTGTATTTCCCTGCCAGCGATGGGTCTTTTCGTTGATCTCTTTTATGCCTCTGCCAGGGTGGCTCTTAACTTTGAGGAACATTCAGTACCAAATTCACAGTTGAACATGAACTTAAAGCAGCAGAGCTGGAATGACTGCAATGCACTGGAAGAAGGTTGGAAAAAAACTAGTTGAAATTGTCTGATATACCTTATATCACACTGGACTTATCTATCAGTGCCCTATTATCATTTCATTGTTTGGAAATTATAATATTTTGATAGTCTTTACTGGTGTGGTTTATAAATTTAAAAAATCAGTTTGGTAGTTACCTTGCATTCACATCCAAACACACTCAGATACACCACGGCGCACCGGCAGTGGAATTTTAGTTGCCGCGGGGGGTTCCCCGCCGGGCGCCTTATCACGTCGGGGTCACGGGGGTCAGCTGCCTGTCGCCGTTCTGTCTGGACCGACTTGATTTTTGGTACTTTTCAACGTACAATTTAAGGTGTATCCTTGTATTTATGGTAATTCTCATTTAGTGCACCCAAAGCACGCATTTCTACTCTTGAGTCTAAAAAAAGAACGGACGTTGTAACTTGTCTGGTTATTTCGTTAGACGCGCTGGAGTCGGCAATGCTAAATTGTAATTTTTTTGGGACTAGCGTGAATGAAAAAAAATCAATATAAAAAAAACGCATCGTCAAAATCTGTCGAACTTTTGGAACAGGAACGACATAACATAAGTGCATTTACTCAGAAAAGATGGTATCTGCGCTTATAATAGAAGGCTGTAATTTTGCAATTTTATCCATCGGGCACACAATTCGCTACGAAGTAATTCCTCCAAATACAACTTTATGTGTCTAATGTAATCATGAATATTCGCATATTTTCTCGAAAGTTTATAAAAGTTATCATGAAGTTTCTCAATGAAAAGTAAAAATCGATTTTAGTGCTAGAATATATCTTCAACGTAGATCTAATACACGAACAGTATCTGTTACACTCCAGAAATTGCTTACTTTTCTTAAAACGCTAAGTCTAGGTTTTGTAAGTTGACTGAATAATAAGGATGACTTCTCGTAATTGGGTTATAAGAATAATTTCTAGCTTTCCAGGGACACTGAATCAGCACCAGACTTTTCCAGCTTTTTTTACGTTTCTATGACCATTTGCAATAACTGACAATGTGACTGATTTCTTTACATTCATAATTGTGTCCGCGCATATTTCCTGCACAAAAACTAAGAATGAATGTTTTAGCTGTCATTATTTTTATTCCATACTAGAAGTTTATCTCTACCCATGTATTTACACGGTTTGTGGTTTTTTAAATCGCTTATATTATATCTTTTTAGTTGTATGCAGGCTGCCACAGACACAGCATGATTCATGAACAAACACAGAGTAACTTTCTCTTGTTTAATAGTAAAATAAGAGCTAACGCTGATCGTCTTTAGTTAAAATATGCAGATATGCATCTTTCTTCTCTTATAACTTGACTATTACTACTATCGCAGATTTAAGATTTCTTATGGTAAAAGACATGATATTCGTAGTCAGTTTAACACAGAATTTGGAGAGATCTGTCGTGCCTTTTTTAAAATAACAATCATTTATTCATAACTTTGTAACTAAAATAGGACAAATTGGGTACTCTACAAACACTTTTCTAGAACAAAAACTAAGGCACAGAAACTAACCATTCTAACGCAGAATAAATCTCAAGACATTGAGCTTTTAGTACATTCGCGTAATGGTTTGCTGTGTGGGATGGGGAAGAAGTTATATCGTTTTAAACATAGTCAAAAATGCGAACTTCCCGACCGACACCGGCAAAGTCGCCTCAGGGCTCATTAACCCCGTGACCCCGAGCCGGGGAGCTCCGGCGGGCTGCTGAGTCACGCGAACTAAAAGTAACAGAATCGGGCGAAAAGTGACGCCGTGACACGCGCGCACACGCACACACACACACACACACACACACACACACACACACACACACACACTCACACACACACACACTCAAACGCTCACATAAAAGTATTTATAATATAATTGCATAATACTTGTAACTACGATGATAGCACTGGCATCTGGTGTAGAGGTTGGGCACTTTTCAGTCACACACATAAGACCTGAGTTTGCTTTCCAAGTGGGGAGAAAAATTTTTTTTGAGGGATGTTTTATCCCTCATAGTCCACTGTGACATAGAGAACCGTATTTTTTTTTTACAAAGCTGAAATCATTGCAGATCTCAGACATGATGATTTGTCATTTTCTCGACAAAAACACTAAGACTGTTCCAGCCAGCGCTGCATCGACCCCCACAGCAAGCAATACGGCTCTATACTGTAGTGTACTGAGTGCTCCCCATGTTGAGGGTCATATACTCTTGGAGTTTCACTGAAGGATCGATGCAAAATAATCTCAAGCCTATGATTCTAATAGAAAATGAACTGGTCTTTCTATTGAAAACTTGGACGCTATTATAAAAAGCTTCCTTCTACGGTAAGAGAGCATGGTTCACAAAAATACAAAAGGCCATAAATATACCACAGGAAACCTTGTTCAAAGCTCTATAGTTCTTCACCAATGAAAAGATGGCATTTTATCAGCATTCTTTCCACGAAACATTTGGATGCATGGGTGTCAATTAAATTAGCTAAATTATGTTGATGGAGGCGTTGAAATACAAGCATGATTTTGTACTTTAAATCATGTTATCCGCACAGGTTTTTTTTGGTTGAACAGAGATTTTACCTGTTTTTTCAGGATTAAAATTATTGTTGTTATGTGAGTTGACTTTTATGAATTCTAAGTGTTTCTTTCCCCCCCCCCCCCCATATCCCCTTTTTTTCAGCCACATCCCAATGTGAAACCTATGGCATATGCAAACCCATTCTTTGGACTCTTTTAGCAGCAATGTGATCTTCTGAATTGTGGTGTACATTGATTTTGTAATTGCTGTGTGAAAGATAAGGATTTGAAATTGTGTGCTACAAATGTATCAAGTAAAGCTATACTTTTGTTTTTGTCTTACTTGTGAGGTTTTACTCCAACTGTAAACAGGGACTTTTATGAGAAACTATTACTGTGTCTTAACCATTTTAATCTTGTTTAGTGGGAATCACTTCTTCTTGTAACGCAGGATGTAGAGCAGAATGCTTTTTCCTGTTCTTTCTCTTTTTATATCAAAACATATCAAGAGAAATAGAATGACAAATGTTCATCGGTTGAGTTGATTTCCTGAATATTTCAAACATAGGCAGTCAATAATCAAAAATAATTTTTCACCTTTATTTATTTATTTTTAAAAAAGAATTTTTCATGTTAGGATTTGAGAATAAGCACTTTTGTAAAGTCTTTTTCTTTGTTTTAGTTTTAGAGGTTGTGCCTCTATTGGAAATATCTATTAATGCCCAATTAAACATATTTGGAGTTCATTAAAGCAAGGTGCAGTTTACCATTGAGGGACCCAAGTTCTGTGAATATTGTCAAGTAACTTTTGTTGCCATAACTTTGAAGGAAACACAGAGCAGAGAAATAAGTAAGGTAGTGTGGTGAATGGTTTTCACTCTCCTGTGTCTTGAAATCATGGTGCAGGCACACCATGGAATCTGTGCTGTTATTATACTCCTAATATCCAGGTGATGAAGACTTAAATGATATCTCTCTGTCCCTGTTCCGGTCTCTGTCTCACTCTCTGTCTGTCTGTCTGTCTGTCTGTCTGTCTGTCTGTCTGTCTGTCTGTCTGTCTGTCTGTCTGTCTGTCTGTCTGTCTGTCTGTCTCTGTCTGTCTGTCTGTCTGTCTGTCTCTCTCTCTCTCTCTCTCTCTCTCTCTCTCTCTCTCTCTCTATCTCTCTCTCTCTCCTTCCCTCCTTCCCTCCCCTCCCCTTATAAATGACAGATGTAACCCTATCTGTACATCGTGTTTTACTATCGTATCCATACGACATGGGGAACTCTGTGCCACCACTTTCCAAAGAAGGAATTTACTCGTTAATCCGATCCATATGCTTTGCAATATGCATTGTAGTCTGTCAAAATGATTTTTTGAGAAATACTGAAAGTTTCAAAGAGATCTTTGCACTAGAAGTATTCTAAAACTGGAAGAATACAACCGCATACGGATATGGTTAATAGGAGCAAGAATTTTCAGTTAATACTGTTCTTCGTGGGTTTTTTTTTTTCTTTTTCAGACAATTAATTCTTTCGCTTAATAAGTCAACATTATGAAAAGGGCAATATGCCATTTTTGAATTTTAAGTGAAATGAAGGTTGCATTTGAAAAGAATGGAATGCATTTTAGTTTAACCCTTCCAGCCCCAGCCATCTTTGTGCACTCCCTACCCCCAGACCCAGCCAGTACAGCAGTAGTTCAGAACAAGAGGCATGCATTCTAAAAAGTGATGGGGTATTTTTATAATGAGGTTTAGCTAAATAGATGTGTCTGTTTGGAATAAATATATATATATTCATGTAGGTTTTTTGTGATTCATGTAAAGTGATTTTTGAAACCGAGCACAATTAATCTGAAAGTGCGGGTGGTTAGAGGGCGCCACTGGGAGGCCCTACTTTTTTTCTTTCCCTCATTCGTTTCTGTCTGTCTTGCTCATTCCATGTACTTTGTAACTGTTATTGAGTTTATGTGCTTCTCTTTACTTAAACCCAAACTAATCTGAAAGCAACAGTAAACCGAAGGAAAATAAAATCCCTAATCTTTTTCTTCTTTGTCTTTGCAATTGAAACGTATCAATAAGCCGAAATGCTCCAGTTTCTAAACCAAGGATTTTTAGGGTTGTGTTGTCTAAATCTTCACTAGCAGCCCTCAAGTAAAGCAAGTCATTAAGTCTTACTTTCAAGACAAAGAAACAGTAAAAAGAGACACATGAATGTGTATATATATATATATATGTACAGTAGTATAACACAGATAGCTTGAATTCCTCGGGACCGGCCTTGGTAGTTCGAGGGATACATGAACAGTGTTATGGCATCGACTGTGTAAGAGAACTGAGGGAAGCAACAAAGATTGGATCGGAACAGAGATTTTTCTTTTTCGGCCATTGTCCTAGATCAGATAGGTTTGATCTATGCCTATTGACTTGAATTTGGAATTTGAGAGAATTTGAAATTGACAGATTGAGAATGAGAAACACAAAGAGCAACGCTTTCAAGTTTGATTTGTAATGAGTACCAGTACCAAGACAGTTTAATTGCGCGGGTCAGTCTGAGTGGTCTTTAGTCTGCACCAATCGAACGGTGCCTTTTCAAATTTGTCAAAACATGAACAATTTGAGAAATAAGCATATATATCGCAACAGTAATCAACAACGGAAGGACGAAACGATGCAGCCCTACCCGCGCGAAGTCTTTTGCAAAGAGGGGTGGGGCTGCTGATCGTGTGGTGCACATCCCTTCCTCTCGCCCACTCCTCACGAGCCTAGCTAGGCCTATAGGACCTAGACACGCGCAGAGGACACGCGTGTCGAGCAGCGCACTAAAAAGAGCACAGCTATGCTCTAGCTGCTTCTGTGGAGGGGGGGGGGGGGTATTTTATTGACTTTGCCCTTTTCCCTTTTTCCGTTTGTGAAAAAGAATATTAGGCCTATTATTATTTTGTTTTTGTCTCAAGTGCCCCTCAAAAGACTTTGACTTTAGACCTCGTTTGTATTTAATCTCTGTGTAATTTTCCTACAAAGATAAAAAAGAAGAAAAAATGGGACCGCTGGCACAGTTCGGCGGATGCGTGATTTCGAGTAATCTGTGTTCAACCTATCCGGGTAATACTGTATTCAATATATCGATTGTGGGCCAGAAGGAGGCATCACCTGTGTACTGTTTCAGATTGCTTAATTTTATCACATACATCAATTAATAGGCTTGCACTCTTGTCTTACTGATGTAGGTTCACACTTACTGATGTATGTTTGTTGCTTGACCTTCAGTTGTGCTTAGCCTTTCTTCCCAGCAAAGCTAGTTGACATAGCAGTAGGCCTTATGCAAGGATGTGACGGAACATGGTGTGTTTCATGACAATGGCATTGGACTTTCTCACTTCTCTGGCCAAGTGTAGAGCACAGTACCGTGTACTGATCTACTCTGTTCTTTGTGCCTGTTAAGCACATTAAGCAAACTTGCAATATAAAACAGAGAAAGTACAATTCATAAAGCCTGACTTAAATAAGGTAGATGAGAAAATAAAATGTCCAGCAGTGAACTTTGCCACAAGCGTAGTATTCCCAACTCTTGTCAACAGTCATCACTATGAAGACAGCTGCTGTCATTAAACCGTAGAAAATCTGGCAGTTCTTCAAATTTTGGTTTAAAGGACGCTACTCTAGTGATGGAAAAGAGTAGGGCAAGGATAAAGATTGAGCAAAATCTGTTGGTGTTTTTAGAATATTTGGATGGTTTATGATGTTGAATTTATTTTAACTTAAGTCAAAAGAGGAAGCGGTGGTAATACAAGTTACTTTGTATGCGTGTTATTGGGCTTGTTTGGGTGGGGAGGGGAGGGGAATGTGTGATTCATCAAAGTTGTTTTTGTTATGATGCTTTTCTTGTCTCTTCGATCATGAGATGTTTCTTAGTATGTCTTAGTATGGTGAGCCATGAAGTGAAAGGGAGCTTTACTGGAGTACACTGTACTCAGAGTGCTGAATGCAAGTAGTAGAACTGACACTGGTTGTAGAAAGAGCTCTGTAGGAAATAAATAAAAAACGCTCCTGTAAGACAAAAAGTGGAAAAATTCAGGTCAGTCTGCTGGTCAGAATACACCATGAATGTGTAATATAATGTGATGAGATGTGTGGTATCTAACTGTTTTTTGAGTTTTTTTGCATACTCACCAGTATACTAGTATAGAAATTACAATCGATGAATACCAGCGTGAAAACTTGTACGCAGTCCATTTTACCTGATACATGGAACCCTCAGTTAAGGGTTCTTACCACTTTTGCCATATCATCCCACACTTCATTGTTTGCTAATCTATAATTGAAGGCAAAGTTTAAGATACTAATGCCTTGGGAATAATTCTTTCTGAATCTTCAAAACTCCTTTGACAGAAAAGTTCTTGCTTCTTGAACTATAGTGAGTTCAAGAAAAAAGTTTTTGATGAAGGGATGTCCTATGATAATGTGCAGAATGTAGGAGAGAATAATTGAGGGTTTTGATGTGTATGTGAGTCGGTTATTATATTTATAGGCGTAAAGACTTGTCATGTGGTGAGACTGATTGCCTGTGATTATTGAATTCAATGCCATGAAAGAGATTGTGAAATCTCATCCACGTCAGCACTTGAGTTTCACTCATAATCATATTCCTCATAATCATTTGAAACAATGAAACAAACAGAATCTGCAAACTGATTTGGCATAAATGAATCATATTCTTTGCAATTGCCAATTTGTTACCTGATTAAAGGCATTTGAAAATTGTATTTGTTATTGTTATAATATATATTTTGTGTTTCCTGACACAAGAACAACAATACATGTTTCTTACCTTCAGACTCTCAGTCAGGATTTCATGAAGCAACAACTGAAGATGAATTGTCAGCTCGAACTGATTGCTACTTCCTTGAAATTCTCTTTCAGTGGTGAAGAGAGTATTGATTTTCTAAAGTTTTAAATGTTAATGTTACCACAAAAGGGGAAAATAAATATATGTAGGGACTACAGTGGGACTTGGTTTCAACGAGGTCGCTGGGCCTGACCTAAAATGTCATTGAATCAGAGTGTTAGTTATAGCAAACATGAGGTTTTGTGTAGATAATTTCAGGCACTGAGCAAGTAATGTGTAAAGAGAAGTAACAAGTGGTGCCTGAAATGCCTTCATATTATGAGCTGTGCAAAGAAAAAGACAGATTCGTTCAAATGCAGGCCTATGTCATCTCGTTTGTTTGCCAAAAAGTTGTGTACCCCCCGGGGCAGTGCCACTGACTGTAGTGTCTTTAGGCCATTCTCAAAGGGGGGACATTTCTTGTTCAAGCACAGTAGAATTGTTAATGGGCTGATTCATGTCACGCTCATAACTGTACCTGATTTACAACTACAATAGGGAACTGCTGCTTTTTCTTTCTTAAAGTTAATCCTTACTATTGTCATTTTCCTCTACTTCTTTTGTATGTTTGTCACTCTCTTGTGACTTTCTATTTCCAGGGTGCCTTGATAGTCGAAGCAGACCGTGTGCTGTTGAAGCTAGAGAGGTGAGCAGAATAAGTCTGATTCCCTGTAAAGACTTCTCTGTTGACACCCTCCCCTTGGCGCTCATAATATGACCTTATGCAGTTGCGAGCGCCGTAAAACACCTACTATATTTTTAAAAATTATTTAAAAGTTGTGTTGTGTGTAGAGCCTACCATACGGAAACTTTTGATTCCTTAGACCAACACACATTTTATTTCTTTTCAAAATAATGGTTCACGATGCAGGTGCAATGGATGGTTTCCGGGAATAGATCAAGTTCGTTGTGGGAGAAAAATGAGCGAAGCCACGTCTGTTCACCCTG